GTTACGTTTATTGACGACTTTAGTAGAAAGCTTTGGACATATCTTATCAAGAGGAAGGATGAGGTATTTGGAGTGTTTAAGAGTTTCAAATCCATGGTGGAGCGTCAAAGCGGTTGGAAGCTCAAAATTCTCAAAATGGATGGTGGAGGTGAATATACCTCTAGTGAGTTTGGGAAGTTTTGTGATCTTAAGGGTATTGTGCGTGAGGTGGTGCCTCCATATACGCCTCAACAAAACGGAGCTTCTGAGAGGAAAAATCGTGCAATAATGAACATAGTGCTTAGTATGCTTTGTGGGAAGAAGTTTCCTAAGGAATTGTGGGGTGAGACCGTGTCTACAACCACCTACTTGTTGAATAGGTGTCCTACTAAGAAGCTGGAGAAGATCACACCAGAAGAGGTTTGGAGTGGTTTCAAACCGAGTGTGAATCATTTGCGCGTTTTTGGATCGATTGCATATCGTCATGTACCGAATCAACTTAGAAAGAAGTTAGATGATAAAGGTGAGAAGTTGATATTTGTTGGATATCACTCTACTGGAGGTTACAAGCTATTTGATGAGAAGAATCGGAAAATTGTGATAACCCGGGATGTATTTTTTGAAGAAATAAAAGCTGCTGAAACAGCGGGACAGCAGCAGCAGTTCTTCAAGTTATCTGATCCGGAGGGTTCCGATGTCGCTGTACCTGCACCTACAGTAGCGGAAAATGTTGTAGTGAATAATGGTAGACCAGTGAGGCAAAGAGCCTTGCCTCATAGACTCCGAGACTACGAGAGGTTCCAAGATAACGAAGTATATAATGATGGTGATTTTGTTCATTTCGCGCTTATGGCCGAATCTGAACCGGTAAATGAGGAGGAAGCCTTAAGCGATCCTAAATGGATATGTGCAATGAAAGAGGAGCTGAAATCTATTGAGAAAAATGGTACTTGGGAGTTGGTCGATTTACCACTCGGAAAGAAACCAATAGGTGTGCGATGGGTCTATAAAGTTAAAGCAAATCCTAAAGGTGAAGTAATCAAGCACAAAGCTCGATTAGTGGCGAAAGGGTTCTTGCAACGTGAAGGTATAGATTACGAGGAGGTATTCGCATCGGTGGCTAGATTGGAGACTATTCGTTTGGTTGTTGGGATTGCGCATAACAATAATTGGGTGATTTACCAAATGGATGTAAAATCTGCGTTTTTGAATGGTCCTCTTGATGAGGAAGTTTATGTGGGGCAGCCACCTGATTTTGTGATTAAAAATCAAGAGAGAAGGTATTACAAGCTACACAAGGCGTTGTATGGTTTGAAACAAGCTCCAAGAGCTTGGAACAAACGTATAGACGGCTTTCTTGTTGACATCGGTTTCAAACGATGTGTATCCGAACATGGTGTTTATGTGAGATCGGATAATATTGATGGTGTTATTATACTATGCTTGTATGTTGATGATCTTTTGATTACGGGCATCAATGACAAGAGTATTTCAAGGTTCAAAGGGGAGCTCATGAGTGAGTTTGAGATGACGGACCTTGGTGTCATGAGATACTTTCTTGGCATAGAGTTCCACAAGTCAAAAGTGGGACTGCTTATGCATCAAAGAAGGTATGCTCTAGATATCTTGAAAAAGTGTGAAATGGAGCATTGTAATGCTTCTAATACACCTTGTGAGCTAGAGTTCAGTTGTCCAAAAGTGATGATGAGGATGATGTGGATCCAACACTTTACCGGAGTTTGATTGGATCGTTACGGTATTTGTGTAATACTCAACCGGACTTGGTTTTTAGTGTCGGTATTGCGAGTAGATTCATGGAGAGACCTAAGGTGTCTCATTTGGCAGCGGTCAAGAGAATCCTTAGATATGTGAAAGGTACTCTTGGTTGTGGTATTTTGTTTCCCACATCGGATATGGGTCGCAAATGTACTTTACTTGGCTACACCGATTCTAATTGGTGCGGAGATAAAGATGATCGGAAATCTACGGCGGGTTACATCTTTATGTTCGGTAGTACACCAATCTCATGTTATTCGAAGAAGGAACCGGTTGTAGCACTCTCTTCTTGTGAGGCCGAGTACATTGCAGCATCATTGAGTGCTTGCCAAGCTATGTGGTTAGTGAATCTCATGAAGGAATTGAGATGTGGTGATGATGATGCCACCACACTGTTTGTGGATAATGTTTCCGCGATAAATCTTGCGAAGAATCCGATTGCACACGGAAGGAGCAAGCATATTGAGATGCGGTTTCATTACTTGAGAGAATTGGTCGGTGATGGAAAGCTTAGATTGAGCTATTGCCGAAGCGAGGACCAAGTTGCGGATTTGTTGACCAAGGGTGTGACAAATGAGGTGTTCAAGAGACTGTTGAAGAGCTTGAGCATGCTGAACTTGGAGCAACTAAAGTGAGGTGGTGTGTTGTGAGCTGTTTTGAAAAGCTGTTAGTTTTCCAAATAACATATTTTAACAGCATGACACTTTAGTTGTATTTTGTATTAGTTGTGATATTCTCTATGTGTATATATACATTGTTGTAATCCCAATTCATGGTTAATGTCAATTTAGTGATTCATCCAATATTACTCTCTTTTCTATTCTCTCTTTCTCTCAATTCATCTTCTTTCTAAGTTTATTTTCACCATTGTTACTACCTTCAAAATTCTGATTTTATGTTTTATGTTGTTTTAACAATAGCAACTACATGATTAAAATCGCACAATCTTAATATCTAAAGGGCTGAAAATGCAACCCAGTATTGAATAATTCACACTTGTAAGTTGGTGGAAAATGTCTAAGGTCAATTTAATGGGTATAAATCATTTATGATCATAGCTATTAATTGATATATAGTTCATTAACTACTCCCTCTTGAAAAAATCAATACTAATGTAACAAATTGAATTGGATTGCTACTTGGAAAAACAATATAGTATTGGTCTCATATACTCAATTGTTTGTAATCAATTACACACAATTTAGCACCCTGCTTTGTGATGATGGCCAGTGATTCACCAATTTCCCAGTGCGTGTTATTATGTTAATCATCATAAGAAACCATGTGTGTGCCTTTATAATAAAAAATCATATGAATGTAAAAGAAATATTCACAGCAACATCACCGAAAGGTATCCCATAGGAAATATGATGGGTCCCATCACATACCTTGATGCACGGTACTAGAAATTCCAAACGGATGGGAAGAAAATTTTAAATATATAAAATATTCCAACGTCATTTTCCTACATCAATATATTGATTACGGTAAACAATGTTTTTTAAAATAAAAAATAATTTTTTTTGAACTGTTTAAACAGTGTTTGTGAATAATATTCATGAACAATTACTTTAAAATAGTAAAATAAAGTTGGTTAATGAAGAGATGAAATTGGTTAATAAACGTCCAATTATAAAAAATAATCTTTAATAATAATCAAAGTTGATTAATACAATATAAAAAATTGGTTAGTGAAGTTATGAAATTGGTTAATAAACGTTCAGATATTAAAAAAAAAATTGACAGTAATCAAAGTTAGTTAATACAAGGTAAAAAGATTGGTTAATAAAGTTATAAAATTGGTTAATCACACAATTTTACATTAATATTTTTTAATAAAAAAATTATAAAAATTAAAATAAAATAAAAAATAAAACAAAAAATAAAAAATAATATTATTATAATATTTCACTGTATTCACCGTATGGGTGAACAGTAAAATACGGTGTAGGGGTAAGAAATTGGTGCAGGAATATCATTTCTCAAAATAGTTAGTATGTACTAGGAGGATTATCCGTTTTGTCCGCATATTAGTGTGAGACGGATTAAATGCTTATGTCCTTACTTTCTAATGTGTCTGTTCCACACTGTTCTGTTTTTTTATGAATTTTTAGTATGTTTGGATTGGTGGAATGAAATAGATGAGATGAAATGGAGTGGAATAAACTTAAATTCAATTGTTTGGATTAATTAAAAATGGATGGAATTGAGCAGAATCTGATGGAATGCATTTCATCTCATTCTATCACTTTATTTAGCCTCCAATTTGGATAGAATGATAAAATTGTTTTGTTCAGTCATGAAATACCCAAATAGTGGAATGATTTTTTTATTCTATTATACTTCGCTCCACTTCATTTCACTTCATTCGTTTTAGCGTATCCAAGCATTCTGCAGATATGGGTATTTACATAAACTTTTGCATTTTTAGGCTTAATTGTGCAATGTCTGCGGGCTTTCCCCACCCCACCTTCACTTTTTTGTGCGACGTACCTAAATTTTAGATCTGCGTCCTCAACGATAATCGTCATGTTTTGCCCCAGATTTTTGCGAATTTTTGCGGGGACGGGCATACCTGTTTGTCACCCCTAAACACACAATCCTAAGAGCATTTAGATGCGATGATAAGAGTATATTCTAATTTAATCAGAAACGTTTCTGAGTTTGAACACACTCCTGAGCACGCAAGAGTATCGGTCTAGTTTTTCTATTATTAATATTTTAAAATAATCTCTAAAATTACACGATTTTAATTAAACTCATTCCACAATTCGATTTTTAAAGAATTTTGTCATCTAAATGAAAGAGTTTTACTATTTATTATTTATTTCTTATATAACGTATCAATCTACTCTTTATATTATTGACATCTTAAAATAATATTTAAAGTTACATGATTTTAATCAAACTCGGTCCTCATTTTAAATTAGGTATATCGTTATAGTTTTTGTAAACCTAATTGACATTGTACATTTTTAAAGATTATTTAAAAACATCGATGATACAATTTTAAAGATTAAATTGAAGATTAACTTATTCTCTAAGTCTCATTGTGTAACCTACTTCAAAGAGGTGGGGCATACATGCAATATTTCACTCTCACACTCTCATGTTCACATATGTTATTCTTGTTTTCCATTAATCTCACACTATAAATTGAGAGCAAACTCAATCCAAAATGCAACAATCATCACACTCAAAACACAAAATCCTATTCTCCCTACATTGAAAAGAAAGAAAAAAAAATGAAAGCAGCACAAATTGCTATTTGCACCTTCCTTCTGCTGATTTTGGCTAATGTTCAAGTGTCAATGGCAGTAACATGCAGTCCAGTGCAACTTAGCTCATGTGTGAGTGCAATCACTTCTTCAACTCCTCCATCAAAACTATGCTGCTCCAAGATTAAGGAACAAAGACCTTGCCTTTGCCAATACCTCAAGAATCCCAATCTTAGGAAGTTTGTTAGCTCTCCAAATGCAAGGAAAGTTGCTAACACTTGTGGAACCCCCTTCCCAAGGTGCTAAATGTTTAAAAACTTAGTCTTTTGAGAGTTGAGGCTATTAAACAATATCATATTTTGTGTGGTTTGATGTCTATATGTTGACACTTATACTTCAGATTGAATATGTGTTTGGTGTTTTAGTCGGATATTGACACTACACCGATATTCAATTACTTATATTTTCTCATATTATTATTGAAGTTTATGTGTGAGTCGTGTCTAATGTTAATGTTTGGGTGTGTTTAAATGTTTCATAAGTAAAAGTACAAGTTTTATTGAATGTGATGCTTTAGTTTCGAGTCATTCCATTTAGTTCTTTGGTGTGGTCTCTTATCACATTAGTTGTTGCAAAAATATGTATTTATAATTCAAAGCAATATTATTAGATTATGCTTACTTCTTAATATCAGTCTCTCTCTGTCTCTCTCTCTTTCTATCAGTTTATTACTGCTTTATTGAAGCTTAGACTTTGGCATGAACTTGTTTGGGAAATTCAATACCAGAAGAGCATTTGATAAAAATAAATGAAATATTTATGAGAACAAACAGAAACAATAGATAACAACTAATTTAACGACAGAAAATTGATATCCATATCATATTTACAGCCTAACACAACTGTCAATGATAAGCCTAACAAATCATATATCAAATAATTCCATTCAAGTCAGAAAAGCTTTTGCTGATATAATTAAACATTCACTATGGTGTTAATATAATTAAACAAGGTAAGGTCAACATTAGAACTGGAAATATTTGTTTCTCAACATTTGTCCCAAAAATAAACTTGTACACCGTAGTCTCCCATAACACAGATACTTCAAATTGGCAAACTATTATTCAAAAAAAATTCTTTTATAATTAGGAATCCAATGAAATGAATTGGTTTATTGGAACTAACTTTGGTCCCAAAACAATATTTTTGAACTCAAATAGGCACCAGAATTAATTTCCATATACAACATTTAAATGACACTTCTGATTTACAAATTAAGTAAGTTTGTCAAATGGTTCCAGCCCATCAACCATGGCCTCTTATCGGAAGGAAGCACAAAATTTAGCTCGAACATTTCCTTCGACATGTTACCTCCTGTGCAGAAACCCACCAGCTTTGCAACTATTTCAGCACTTTCCTCTACATGTCTTTGATCATGAGGATCTGTCCAAAGCTTGTTGATAAATTGCATCTTCCTCTGCTTCCCTTCAAGGGGGACATCCCATTTCATATATAATGTCTCCCTCTCTTCTGGAGTCAAACGTGATATCAATCTCTTGGCTAGAAATTCTCTTTCTCTTTTCAATGCTCTCATACTGCAATATCATACAATATACATTCAATGAAAATTTCTTATTTATAATCATCGAGTACAGTGTTTGTGTGAGAGTGTGAAATGTTTGTGTGAGAAATTGTAGGAGAGAGGGGAACCTTGATGACAGTGAGATAGTTGGTTCATCGAGTATCATACAATATACATTCAATGAAAAATTCTCATTTATAATCATCGAGTATAGTGTTTGTGTGAGAGTGTGAAATATTTGTGTGAGAAATTGTAGGAGAAAGGGGAACCTTGATGACAGTGAGATAGTTGGTTCATCTCCTCCAACATTAGGAGCTGGACTTGCATTCCCGAGTTCTGCTAGGTGTTGTTGCAACCAAGTCAAACGCCTTAGTTCAACTTCTACATAAATTTGATCAGCGGGATCTCCCTTGAATAGCAAATAAAATTGGGTCCTGTGAATAATAGAGACATAACATGCATCCCATAATTCAAGGATCAGCTTCCGCTGCTCTTTAAATGTTACTTGCCACAAAACTTGAGGTTCCTCTGGTTCACCTGTGTCCATTTCATCTTCTATGTTGTGGCCACTTGCTTCATTTGCCTCAAGCTCAAGTACCTAAGGATCGAAATATAAGGACACCAGAGAAAAGCTAATGGAAACACAAGAAATGGAGAATTAAAGGAAGATTTGCAAATATAATTTACCTGGCAAACAAGTAACTGCTTTTGGTACTGCAGTTTGGCCACGCGTTCTTTCAATTCTGTCACATATGCTCTTATACTTCTTACATTCTCCTCTGCTGCATTCTGAAACATTTTCTGCATTTTTTTCATGTTAACTGAACTAGAGCGACGGTAACCTGGAGTATTCTCCTTTGATGTAATGTCTCCTGCTTCCTCACTTTTTGAGGGAGTATCCTTCTCGGACTCGAGATGAATTTCTGTTGAAACGTTGTCATCATTCTCGGGGGCTTTATTTTCAATATCAGATTCCAAAACTTGTTGAGTAGTAGATAATGGTGAGCATGGAGATCTAATGAAGTTCGGGCGATTAGCAGAGTTACTTGAACATAAAGGAAGCAGCTTTTTCCTTTTATGTTCCTTTTTATGCTTGGGGGATGCTTCATTGGTTATTAAAGTTTGAAAATTGTTAGGAAGAGACATCACCAATTTGTCTATAGACTTTTGCACATTCTCAAGCTGCTGCTCAAGATTTGCAATGGTGCTTCCTTGTGAATGAAGACGGGTAATCTCTTCCTTTAGATTAGCACTGACACTTTTGTTGACAGAAACCATGCTTCCAACAACAACTGCTTTAGGTGCTGGCTTAATGGAACGCATTTCCCTTATTTCTGATTGCAGCTTTGCAATTGTCTCAGCTGCATCTTGGTTACCTAATCTATGACATGCAACTTCTTTTTGTAATACTTCCAAAGCTCTGTTGGCTTCTTCGCCTAGCTGCTCCTGGAGGTGCTCAAGTTTGCGAATTTCATGCATAAGGGCAAAAGGAGCAGTGGATGATTGCCTCATGGACTGTCTTAATGACGTGTTTCTCACTCTCTCACAGCCTAGCCCTGATTTTGGTGAAGGTAATGCACCAGTGAAAGATAGACACTTTTTGGCTGAAGAATGTGCTGATTCAAATGGCTTTGAGACCTGAAGTTATTAAATTTATTTTACGTCAGTTGACATAAATTAAAAATCTGTGTGTGTGTGGTGGTGTGCGGAGAGACACGCAGACAGATAGAGGACCTGTTGGTCTACTTGAAGCTTTCTTCGTAACTCATCGACTTGAGTTTGTGCTTGATCTCTCTGACGTTTCAGCTCTTCAATTTCCATTTCCATCTGGAATTATAGGCAAACAATATTAGTACTATGGTATTATTCTTGTTCCTAACAATCATTTCTATTCTCCAATTTACCTGTTGAATTTTCCAATCCTTTTCTTTAGATGGATCAGGAGTGCGTAGCACTGCTTCCAGCCTCGCCACTTCCTTTTGCAAATGTTTAACAAGCTGCTTTTCTGGTACCACCTATACAAAGCATTTGAAGAAGATATTAAGCTTGGTTCAAGTAGTAAATAGATAAATATTGAAGGAAAAAACAAAATCATCAAGGGGACTATGACTTCTTGGTAATTACCATGTTTACTTGAGCATTATTTGTGACTTCTTTAGCCCGAGTAGCAAAGTAGAGGGTATTTCGTGATTGCTCTACATGGGTTAATGCCGGACTTAAGGTACATATAATTGCGGTGCGTGCATTCCCACCAAGGGAATGTTGAAGAATACGCGTGAGCTTCGAATCTCTATAAGGTATATGACCACTTTTTTTCCCCACACTGCAAATGATTATAGAAGAGGAAATCAGAAGAAGAAGATGAAGAAATCTCAAAAGGTAAGTAGTTCTAATGGCACTACAAGTTATAACAACACTAACAACTTGATCAATTTCCTGAAAACAACACTGACTCTGACCTGAGCTTCCTGATAACAGTTGTAAGGGTCATAAGGCTAAGGTTAATATGGCAGCCTTCTTTGAGCCTAGTGCCATCTGCATGTGTCTGTGCAGCTCTCTCACTTCCAGCCAAATCAACAAAGTTCTGCATTCATTGACACAAACTTGTCACTCAATGAGAACTATTGTATCGATTTTAAAATAGACAAAACGAAACCTCAATTACCAGGGTCGCAACAAAAGATTTCACACAATCTGCTTCTTCGCGAAGAGTGCTTTGAATTGTCTACAATATACATCAAAAGGAAGAAAATAAATGTTTCCATGTTAGTAATGACTGCAAAAGAAGAAAAGGATCATCTTATATTCCGGCAAGGAATTTCACAATCATGTACCAGTCTTATTATCTGGTGAGACCTTGAGCTGTTATCATTCAGAGCAGTTTCGCCCACCTGTCTTTGAGCTGCCAAACAAATAAACTTTATATTAATGTCTGAATAAGAAAACATGTGACTCATTGCAAGCCTAAGAGAGTATCCTACCTTCACAAATGGAGATCAAATGTCTCAAGTGTTTGTCATCCTTTGCTGTTTCTTCCACCAATTTCTCAACCACAGTACCTTTCTACATTACACAAATGATATTAAAACAAAGAATTCCTAATTCCAGAAAATAAGTTTAGTAGAATGTCAACACATTAACTTAATAGGTAAATAAAAATTTGTGACAAATATTATAATATGAGATTACAAATTCAGGACATGGAAAAAATTAAATAAGTTGTAAAGATTTTTGAAAAATGATGCAAGATGTTAAACTACGAAATTCAAAATTTAGGATAAGGAAGCTACTGAATTCCATGTTTATTAAATATAAAATGAAAAATGTTTTGAACTACATTACCTCAGGATCATCTAAAAGCTTCAAACTTCGACCAGGTTCCGAATTTAACAAGTCCCGTACATTCTCATTGTATATTTCTAGTCCAGATATTTTTATAGTGAAATTTCTCTCAGGATTCTGTAATCATGGAAATTGAAAAAGATAAATTAACAACCTTTGGAATCCTATCCGATCTTTTAATACATAAATTAAAACTGGACAGAAAAAACATTTTCAAAAGAATTTAGCAAACTTACCTTCATTATATGGTTATAAATATCATTGACAGCCTTCTCTGTGATTCCTCTCATTGTGTATGTCTTTCCACTACTTGTTTGTCCATAAGCAAAAACAGTAGCTACAACAAAATAATCATGCAGTGTGAGCCTCTATCAAAGACGCA